AGAACCAGGGTCAATACTGCATCTTTGGACCTTCAAGCAGAACCTTCAGGGTGACTCTAACTCAGTCTCAATGGTGACGGTCCAGGGGCTGAGGGTCAAATACTACCAATGAGCCTGTTTCTTTGGTTTGGACGAGTGGCCATTCCACGAATGATGAGAGGTTGTCAGTTTCCTTGTGCCTTGTGACAAACAAGAGAATTTCTTGGTGCCCTACTTAAGTCAATCTCATTGCTCTGCTTTACATTTCAACCAAACTAATCAACAACCCTTTGAACAAAAGGAGACCATGTAAATTCTGTTCCCCAACAGGCGGCACAGACTACAGTGGAGACGGAGCTTATTTTCAATTTGCAGCCAGATTAGCAGGCATGTTTTTGATACTGTCAGAACGGCAGAGATTTTTTTTCTATTCCAAGTCGTCTTGAGTGAGTGGCCTTTTTAGTGCCTGCTTCAAAAAGCATCCCCCGTACCCGAGCAGCTGTCACTTTCAGCAGGCACTGTGGAGGACGGAAGCGGGGGAGGGGTCCTTTGAAGGAATGGTTAAAAGTGGGCGATAAAAATAAACTGGGAGAGAGGAGAAAATTAATTATACATAACAGACAGTTCACTTGGATGAGCACGACAGAGACAGAGAAACTAAGGCTGCTTCCCTCAAAGAAAAAAAAAAAAGCCATTTTCTGGCTGAGGAAATTTCTGTTCTGCCACCACAGTGGTCATATTTATTTGGCAACCTCTGAAGTGAGGGATGCAACAAGGAAATTTTAAGAAGGTCAAGGCGTCAAACAATACAGTCCAAGCTTTCATTTCAAATTCTCCACGCTGGCGCTCACTTCGTGCATCTTCTCTAATTCAGGCAGTTTCCTGGGACCAAAATAAAAATGCCAGCCCTGAGCACACACCCTCCTTTTTTAAAAATATGATGAAGCTTGCAGATAGCTCAATCTGCCTTTAAATTCCCTTCTGATTGGCACTGATGAGGCTTTATGCTGCTGCCTCACCTGCAAACTCACCTCTTGATATGATTCGTAATGCACCAGCACTTCAGTTCAACACCGCCCACGGACTCTCAATCCCAGCTTCTTATTCGGGCCAAACAGAGGTCATTCCTATTTGAGCAGTCAGTCAAGAAAGGCCCGCCAGGTATTGGCGAGTGAGTTTATTTCATATTAAGGCTTGTCGGCTGGAGAGGTGTTAGCACCATGAGAGCTGTGTGTGTGTGTGTGTGTGTGTGTTTCTGTGGATGTGTGTATACGACATGGCCCTTGGGTAGAGCCCTGCTGCTGGTCCCTCTTTAGTGCGTTTTAATATTGCTGCCGCTGTGTGGCTCTTCGCCTCAGGGCGCCACACAAACCCCAGAGTGACCAAGTGAAAACACTCAAACAGAGAGACAGAGGGGACGGGACAAGGCTGAGAGAGAGATGGAGAGGACGCGACAGAAACTAAAGCTCAAAACAGATAGAACATAAAGATGAAGTGTTAAAAAAAGAGCTCGAGACAGACGAGCACAGATTGAATGAAATGCACTCGGAGCAGAGCGCCAGCATCACGGCTAACCTCTTTAGCAAGAATGACACAAATGAAAACGTATGTAATAAAAACACACCATCTCCACCGACTGGGATATGAGAGCAGATATTGCATTACAGCGGCGCTGTGCCAAGGAAGCCCTAGATCACACACAGGGGAAAGCGTTTAGACCGGGGCGTACCCAACACTCTCTGACACAACCCCCGTACCGGTTTGAAGGGGGATCCTTTTTCAGTAGTAGTAAACGCGTCTTCGTGTACTGAGCCACGACACAGCAACGGATAGGCACTGGCAAACAGAGAGAGAGAGAGAGGATGACAATGGAAGAGTGGGGTAGGCCTGACATGTGCATGGTCTCTTTCCTAGAAAGAGGAAGAGAGAGATGGAGGGAGGAGAGAACCAGCATGCCACCAGACCAAGAGTAAAAAAAAACGTGTAGGAGAGGGAGAAAAGAGAGAATGGGGAGGCAGATTAGAAAAAGTCAGAAAAGGGGTGGAAAGAGAGAGAGGTGGTGCGGAAGGATGGAGGTAGACGGGAAAGAAAGCCTGAGTGGCAGCACGAGTCTGGAGGCAGGAGGAACGGCAGAGAGAGAAGGCGAGAAGAGGAGATGCCTAGGGATGAGGTTGTCACACTGGTTTAAAATGTCGAACAGTAAGCGAAACTGGAAAAGGAGCTGGTTTTGCAGTCTAGCAACACATACAGACACTGTGGGTGTGAACACAGTCCATATAATATATTAGCTCGCCACATGAAAGCAATGAATCACAGTGCAGTATACCCAGAAGAATACAGCTATGCACTGAAAATCTTTTCACATATATAAACAATTTCAGTGACCCAGTGAAGGAGTTGTTCACTTAAACTAAGAAAGTCTCATGTGACTGTGATGGAATTTAAATCTTCTCTCTAAAATCCTAAATCAATATTAACACAAAATATATTCAGGGCCAGTCTTACAGTGGCAGTTTGTGATTCAGTTCTCACATGAGCACAGCTCCTCTGCTTTGTCATCCATCTCCAATCTAATTAGACCTTAAATATGCCGCTCACTGAAAAGTCCAGAGGAATGCGACGGGGGGGCCGAGCTACACAAAGGCAGGACCAGAGGGGTGCAAAGTGCACTTGTCAGCTCAAATTCCAAAGTTTGGACATCACAGATTTACCCTTCACGGCAGCAGCCAGACCGGACAGGGCAGACTTTCAAAATTCATGACACTGCTGGTCTATTGTGGGGCAGATCTGTATCATAATTAGGGAAGATTGAGGCAAATTGCTTGTAATTTTCTGGCCGGGTTGCCAGCTTTCATGTGAGATGCCATGCAAGGTCACTGTTTGCCCAAAAAAAAGGTTTCCTGAAGACCTGGTGGGAACTTTTTGAAACCGTGAAGGGATAATGATCCAGGTGAAATAGTTTCTCACACATTTCCCCAATTGTGTAGTGATATCTGTCAGAGTGTAACGTAAATACAGAAAATAAATATCATTACGATCCACGCAACCCCGGATGATCAACCTAGAACCTTTCCAGACCCGTGAGAGTCATCACCATGTTTGGGTACATTACTGCCACTCCTTGCTGTCACTCACACACGCCTGTAAAGTAACACTTGTTTTGACTGCAGGTGTTTTTAAGGTTCACATGTTGTGCGGTCGGTGGTGATGTCAGCCTGTGTGTGTGTGGTTGAGTGACTTAACGCTGGGAACCACCTCTTAAACAAACACCAGTGACACGGTTCAAACCCCACATCATTTACATGTGAATGCCGGTCACTGGCATTGAACTGTCAATAAGACGCTTGACTGAATGGAGGCAGAAATGGGTCACGTCACTTATGATAAGAGTTATTATCACACATCTTATAAGGGTGTCCAAGTGCTGCCACGGAAGATCAAATGCACCAATCAATACCACTAGGTTTATAGTAACTGTCTATAAGGCCCGCTGTAGAGCTTCTGCTTAAATATTAACTGAATATTGCAGTGATTCTTTTTTTATGATAGGCTCTAGTCTGCCTCCCCCCCAAAAAAAAGAAAAGGTTAAAATTACGTCTAAGCCCTTGCTCATCTAATATGATTCATGAGCACATATTTTTAAAAATGGGCTCCAAATGAATTCACACAGTGTGCGGGGTCGGGGCGGGTAGTCTAATTTGGTTAACCAGGATTTGATTAAAATGAAAAAAAAAAAAACAGAAGTGAGGAGATCCGATAGAGCAATGAGAGCATTTTTAATAGCTGAGAACCAATGCGCACTCCACACACCCACAGACAGCCCTCACCACTCCATCCCTGCTCAAAAGGGGAATTCAATTGCTGTCGAATAACAAAGCTTACAAATTGCCTCTCATTCGTTAGCAGATTAACGCTCTTTTCACACCACACAAACACAATTTCTAATTATTTCAAAGCTAATAGGGGGAATCGATTTTTTTTCCCCTCTTTCTTTAAAGCGTGCACCACATCCCTGGAGAAATCCAACACAACTCCTCCCTTAGGTCCATTTAAGAAAAGCCAGGGCAGGATACAGGAAAATATAAAAAAAAAAAAAACATGCAGCAAAACAAGCAATGAAGAGCAAGTGTTTGATGTAAAGCCATGCATCCTGCTCCAGGCTCCACCGGACTATTTATCCAGACGACAGTGAGTGTCAGCTCTGTGAATACCTGTAATTATATGGTGGTGGTGGCATTCCTCCTCTGAGGCGATGCAACAGCCATACTCCAGCCAGACCAAGCCTGCTGCGCTTGTCGGTGTCACCAAAAGGCACACAGCTTTTTCTTTAAAAAGATTATTTACTGCAAAGACGAAGCTTTTACCAGAGCAGGAAAAAAAGTCTGATTTTTCACTGCAGCCGACGATCTTCAACCAGCCACAAACTCTCACTGCACCAAATCTGCGCTTACTTACAACCTTTTTTTTCCTCTCTTTTTACTTTCCAGCTCCAGGTGCTCAGCGCTTAAATAATAATTAAAAATGTCCAAATACGCCAAGTTAGCGAGCTAAAACCCTCGTTCGGCGCCCCAAAAATATCCGCAGTTTTACAGTTTGGTGTGGATCAATCGGACTGGTGGTCGCACATTCAACACACCGCTAACACAAACGCCAGCCTCCAGCACACCGCTACATATCTGGGTCTGTAAGCGCTGCTCTCCCTGCCCTGTTCCTCCAGGCTGGGCTTTGCTTGGAGCCTCCAGCGCTTCAAACTCGTGGAGAAACCGGACGCTGAGAGCGGAGAGGACACGGGGAGAAGCGGAGGAGTGTGTGTGTGTGTGTGTGTGTGTGTGTGTGTGTGTAGTTGGGGGGGCAACAACGACAAACACACCACACGGAGCAATGGAGAGAGGGGGGGAAAAAACGTAACCTAAATATTTCAACCGGCTCCACCAACTAAAAAGAAAAAGCCCTCTCTCGTTCCACACTGGGGTAAAAAAAGAAAAGGAGCAACCCTGCTCCGGAGTTTTCGCGGTACTTACAGATTCAAGTGATCCTCCGGGTAGATATCCTCGCCATGGTTTTAAATTCCAAAACTTGGGGACATTCCTCTCTCTGGTCGTGGAGCGGCGGTGCTCTCTCTCCGGCGGCTCCCTGCGTGTGAATGGAGAGGAGAGGACAGGAATGCAACTCCGGCTCCAGGAGAGAGGGAGGGAGGAGAGAGGAGGAGAGGGGGTTGGGAGAGAGAGAGGAGAGAGAGAGAGAGAGAGAGAGAGAGAGCGAGGGAGGAGCGCGCTCTGCTGCTGCAGTACTTCGCCGAGCCCATAGAGGGCGCCCCCGGGCCGACTGCTGGTGGGACAGGGACATGTGTGGGGAGTCTTACACGTTTATATTTGAAGTCACTTTATGTCAAATTATATTTATAAAATGTATTACAATTACAGTCTGTACAGAGTACAACACCCTCTGGCCTTAGAGCCTCCATTATTTTTTTACATTTTTAAAAAAAATTAAATTTCATTTTAAAAATTCCTTCCCACGCTGTGACACACCTTGTCCTTTAAGTGGGCTTTTTAAATATATATTGCTCTGTTTTATATATTTAACTGTATTATTTGACTGTGTATTTCTGGCAGTAATTAGAATCAGGTTTGTTTAAAGTTTTATTTGTCACATACTCTTTACATGTATGAGTTTTACATTCATTGAAGTAGCCTGTACCTGCAGTACAGAGGGCCTTTACCCTAGAACTACATTTGTAGGACCCTAGTTTTTCATGACACTGCCACTTACCAAATTGGATGACATTTCCAGGTTTATT